AAATTTTCCAAGGGAAAAAACCAAACCAATGTCCCCCAACCCCCCAAAAAAAAACCCGTTTCGGGGCGAAAAGGAAAGGAAAAAACTTGCTTTTGAAAATCAGGCATTCATGGTTGAATTGCTCAAAAAAACCCATTAAAAGGCCCAATAAGAAAAAGCTTTTTGGACTTAAACCGGGGGAAATCTGTCCTTTGGTTGATGATCAAATTTGAGATTTTTGGGTTCCCCCCCATTTGTCTTTGTGAGACGCAGAGTGGGTGAAGGGATTTTCCCCGCATGTGGGTTCCCCCCATAAGCATGGAGGGGTGTTAAGGGGGGGGGGGGTTTGTTGCTGGTGAATTTTTAAGTTTTTTATTTAGAATTCAGGCCTTAACCAGCATGGCTACCACAATTCGCAGCATACGCCCCCCCCATCAATTTGCGCTTAGTGGGACTATCATTATTTTTCAACAGACAATGACCCAAAACCACCTCCATGCTGTGAAAGGTTTTTTTTAAAACCAAGAAGGAGAGGAGGAGTGCGGCATCGATACCGGGTTTCCCAAAATACCCTCGCAACCCATGAATGGTTTTGGGATAGGGGGGCCCAGAGTAAAGGGAAAACACCCAAAAGTGCCACTTTTGGGAAACTCCTAAAGACTGTTGGAAAAGTTTCCTCATGAAGCTGGTTGAGAAATTTCAAGATTCAAACTGTTATAAAGGGCAAAGGGGGGCTATTTTGAAGAACAAAAATCTAAAATAATTTTGATTTTTTTTAACATTTTTGGGTACTAATTTCCTATGTTTTTTTTTCTTTGTTTTGATGTCTTCACTATTATTTTGTCAGGGTTTGGGCCCCCGAGGTGCTCCCCCCTGGTTCGGGCGGGTTTTGGGCGTTCGCCCCCCCCCGAGTATTAGCTCCCACCGTCTATTTCGTGTTTGATTGCTTTTTCGTTGCACCCTGTGCTGTTTAAGTGGGATTAGGTTTATAAGTTCCTTGTTTTGCTCAAAGGAACGTTTTTGTTATTTCCGTTGCCCTTTTTTATATGGGTTTTTTTTCCGTGTCATTTTCCTTTTTTTGTGTTTTACGCGTGTGCGAAATTATCCCTCCCATTTGTGTTATCGGGTCGGGGTTTGTAATCTTGCTTTGAGCTATTAAGTCTTGTTGGCAACCCTTTTGCTTCCGGGCCCTTACTCCTCCACCACACCCCACGATGGTTTATGCGAAAACACACCTTTTTGGGTCGCAGGATCAGCGGCCCCCCCCGAATCCCTGCTGATGGGATCAATTTCCGGGAGCCATGATCGAACTCGGGACCGTCAGGACAGGTGGTCCAACCCCTGCCCGATTGGTAACCTGAGGTGGCCAACCCTTAACATTGCTCACCAAGGGCCAGTCCCCTCTCTCATCCCGGGAAAACCCAGTGGCATTCGGCTCTCACCCGAGGGCATATACGGCTCTGCACCGGGGTTTTTCAGGGATTCCCCCTCGGGTGAACTGTACCTTGCCACTAACCCCCGGCCCCGGGATGAGAGGGTCTCCCCCCTCATCCCCTGTCTCCCCCGGCAAGGCTTTGGGAATGAGCCAACCCCAAATGGAGGGGAATAAAACCCGCTACGATCACCTACGCGGAGTTCTCCCCCCTTGGGGCTGTCTTCGATCCCCCCCGGGGGGGAAAGCGGCGGGGGGAGCTCTTTCCACTCCGACAGGGAAGGGAGCGCACGTTTTTCGCACTGAGTCCGGAACTAGGGGCGGATGGGGGTGGAATGAGGGGGGGCCCTCATCCCAGTACCGGGTATTACGAGAGGATTGTAGGGAGCTGGCCTTCAGGGATCCAACCTTTTTTTGACCGTTGGTGGAATTTCCTTTCCGTCTGGATACCCTGGGGCTACCCGCGGACGTCCCGGGGGGGGGTCGTCCAGTCCCCCTTAGCCCCCCCGACCGATTCCCATGGGCTGGGGGGTGCGGGCTAGAGGAGGGGGGGGAAAACCCGAGGGGGGCCACCCCCTGCACCACCTGGGTCGTGGAGGACACACGCGCCAGGCTGGGGAGGTTGGTAGAGGTGACAAACCCCCCGACTGGGGAGTCATTTCAGGTATTAGGGCCCCACTCCCCGAGCTTCTTTTGGTCACATAAATTCTTGGGGTTTTTCCACGGGTGCACCTCTTTCCCCCACATAAGGCGCTAGTAGTTAGGCCACTGGGGAACTTTATTATCGAGCATTTTGTCTGGGGTTAGGAATTCCCCTTGGGCCCGGTAAAAGTTTTCCATTCCCTGTCCACGCTTGACCCCGGCCTTGGGGTGGGTGATCGGGGATGTCACAGCACCACTGACGATGACGGCCGGGGGGGGCCCGGGGAGGGAAATCTTCGTTCTATCTGATTGACTTCCTGCGTCCCCAGGGGGGTTTTGGGGGCCTTTCCCCGGGTTAAGCACCCTGATCCTACCATAAAATGGCAACAGGGGGCTCTTTGGGTGGTCTCCCCAGGTGTGGAGATGCCCCCCTAGGTTTTTCCAAGGGTCGACCTCGGTAGAGATCCACCAAAGGGGCCCGCCTGCGCTTTCCCCCCCAGTATGAGGATTTACACTCGTGTTTACAAATCGAGGGCACAGGCTACCCCTCATGACAGGGGACTGGGCTAAACCCCAGCCCGGAGGGGCTCTCCCCGGAGTCGTGTATCCCCTGTCTAAAGAGGAAACTGCGGCTAGGGAGACATACAAACCGAGTCCTTGGCACGGGGAAACATACGGTTCCTACTTCCGTCCCCTCGATTTTTTCTTTGTGAGAAAAAGGACGGGGGATTGCCCCCGTGATTGTTATCGTAGTCCAATCAGATCACAGAAATACGCTCCCATTTCCACTGATTGCGACGAGACGGACAACTGGAGCCGGTTTCTTTTTACAAAGGGTCTCGGGCGCGACAATTGGTGCGATTAGGGAGGGGAGAAGGGAAACACTTTTGCACCCCCTGGGTCTTACGAGTATCTCGCAGCCATACGGTTTAATGAGCCCCTTCA